ACAGATGCCCTGGACAAGTCTCATTTCAAAATACTGACCAATTACATGCTAAATGCCATACAGTACTAATGTCTTGATTGTGTCAAACAAAATGAAAGCAGTACTTTAGATTCACTACATCAATAACAGCAGTAAATTATAGCCCAAATTTCAGACGATAATTCTGTTCATTGTTTCTTGTGAAGTTAAGGCCTTTTAGCAAAGTGACGAATAACAAACTTGAAAGTTCATTCTAAATGGTATTTTGCACATATCGTGAAGGAGGGGCCATAATCAAGGTTTGTGTTATGATTAGAAAATGAGGCCGTTTGTCTCCCGTTGTCTATTGTTCTACTTCCACAACGCTGCAATAAGGAAAACCCTGTTCCAGTTTCGCTACTGAACTGAAAACAATAAAAATAAACTCGGAATGATATAATTACTGATTTAAATTGAGTATAAAAGCGTGTGACACACGAACTAAAACTTGGAAAATAGTTTAACGGTATAATGATTTCTATTATTGCCTAGCTGAGAAAGAAGATAATGGAGTATCGCATGATTTTCAAATCTGGTTTATCTATTCTTAAAGGCATCCATCTCAGGATCCATATTTCAAATAACCTCATCCATCCATCCTCTGTATGATATGCTGTCCCAAGATTTCACTTCAGCCATATCAGAAGCATTTAAGCACCTATTAAGGCACAGGACTTTATTACATATTTGAAATAATCAAAACAAAAAAGTTGACTTATGCACAAGAAACGCAAATTATTAGGTCATCTGGATGATTGACCAGCACCCGTGTTGGAGGTGAGTGAGTTTCAGAAACTTTTCGGTCGTTTGTAGGTTCGGAGTCGGAGGGCTCCAGCTTCAAGAAATTATTGTCAATGTGTAAAAAATAAAATGTGTTTTGTGCCGCTTTCGTCATGATTACCAACGCACGAAGCGAACATTCAATTTCCGATGCAATTTGACCGAATACTCACAGACTATAAAAGGAAGAAGCGTGTTTCCGTTCACCCCTTAATGGCAAATCGGACAGACTGAAACTGTTAGCTTCCATGCTCAATCATATTTTATTACTTCGACCATGAGCCTGATTCCGAAATGGCCTGATGCAAACTTTTGAAAAGGTCGGCGGCTACTTTGTTTGAAGCCAACGACGCCACAGTACAGCGTAAGTAAATGTTCTGTTGTCGTAATCAAGGTTAGAAAATCAACAAACTGTTTATGTGAAGCGAGCAGGGAATATAGGCATCCCCTTAGTCATGCAATCGTTAAGAGCATTAATACTATGTATTCCTTCAACCAGACTATTTTGTTCACATACTGTGACAATTTTACTCAATACATGCCCATACGAGCATACATCAATTCATTCATCTATTCGAAATACACGCCCTAACGTCGTCATCCATCTTCGGTTGTGAGGACAGCTGCCTTAAAAATTTTCTTAACTGGCTATCGTTCTTCGGTCAATGAGGTAAGCTCTATGATGTAATAATTTCACATCGTCAATATAATCGACTCATCTGGACTTCGCTGCTGCTTAGTCGCCTTCCACTCGGCTTTGATAGTATCTCTCACATCATACTGACAATATGCTGAAACTGCCACAATTGCAGTAAAAACTTTTCACAAATCAACGTACCTTGGATTGTCGTGTTCCGAAGATGATCAAGTCTCGTCACAGTAGCAATAGTTTGGAGGGATCGTTATTTCTGTCAGACGTATTCTCTGGATCGCCGTTTCTGTCACGATCTGCCACATATGACCATGAGGTAAGGTATGGCCCCATCTATCGAATGGAACCTCATACTCTTGGCATTTGAGTTAACGTACAAATGGAGAAAATGGAGAATCAGCGCAGTGTACCAACGACGATGCATAATGGCTATAGCCCTATAAATCAGATCTCTGAGGCATAGGCGCAAATTTTGATCTATGATATAATCCACTAATATAGCTTATTTCAAGTATCATTAGTACTTCTGTCGTACATAATCAACGAAAGATTACATATCCTATTGCGTTGAACCCTTAAATTGTTCGAACATGTGCTCTGAGTCGCTCTCTGTCGTCGACCATTGTTTTTGTCATTCTGCAGTAAAAAAGTGAACTTTCATTTAATGGTTAAGGTTCTGGAAAGCAACTACTCCATAGTCAGTTAAGCACTGCACTCTACGGGCGATGCGGAATGAATTGAGTGCATAGGCCAAGAGATCTGACCTTATTATATTTCGTTCTTCCTTGTAATCATGCTTCTACAGCATTAAAATACGTTCGTACCCTGGATTATGTTTAACTCTTCCAAGGTCAGATCTTTCACGGACGGCGTGTCGCATTGTCCCAGTGTGTCTAGTTGTCTCCGGGGGCAATTTAAGCAGGCCACGACTGAAGCCAAGAAACTATTGCCTGCTTAAATGCCAAGAAAGCAACTATGAATAAGTAGTAGTGCACCACGGCGCGAAAAATCATAAATCGAAATATCAATGATTCTACAACATGTGATGTGACCTTTCTTCTGTTCTGCGAAGAACAATAATAAAAGAAATTCATATCCCAACAGTGACAGTAATTCTAATAAAAATAATATGAGGAAATATGATCCTCCATGTTGAACGATGAAGATGACAGGCACATCATACAGAATATTCGTTTATATATGGAGTTCCGAAATATGCCTTCGCCGGATTTCCCCCTGATTCGAATTCATCCTCCAAGCATCAAGCAGATCTACCATCTGTATAACGCATAGCCTTCAATTTCTGTTTAGAAGGCAGACAACATAAGGAAAAGTTTCCACAACTCTTTCTTAAAGATTAACGCAGGCGATTATCTCGAATCTTTGACTGCACGTTTCCATCCGCAGTACCTTCATTTTCCATATAGCTACCTCAAACGCATAAATAGATCTGTACACCCTCATAGTAATGTCTCGTTAGTCCGCCATCTCTGGATGCATGACAGGTTTTCATCGCTACAGAAATCCCTTCGCTTTAGGTCGCTCTTTTCAAATAACACCTGACATAATTACCTACCCTGGTATGCGATTCGATACTTCAATCGTTGCCCACTGAAGTATTAGTGAACTGACTGCTCTAAGTCTGGCTAAACACAGACTTCCATTGGGTATTTGTACACATTGAAGCAAACCACCGTCTCCACGCAGCGTCTCTTTCGTTAGCTGTATGCTTTACCTACAGTTAATAATATTATAACGTAACTAGTTCCTGCCAACTAGGTAAAGTGAACTACTCTGGAGTTGACTTGATTAAATAAAACGATAAAATCGTGTTCCCTTAGTGACAGACCTTCCTACATAGAAAACTATACTTAAGTTGTGTAGTCAATATTTCAGAAGAAAATGAAGACCAAGCATAAAACCAGAAGATTTCCTTTTCGTGGCATTATCTTCCGAGCACTCGATCCACAAGAACTTCACAATTATTTGCATTGTTCTTGTGATCGTCATCTAAGAATAACGGAACCAGCAGTGAGCAGAAGGGTTATGTAAATACAAGTACCACTTAGTGGGAAAGAAACAACAGACCACACGCTAAAGTAGCCAACTAATTGTTGATACAGTCTTAAAACAACAAGGCACTCCCGAATGACGACATAAAAACGGAGATTAGCGCCGTACCATAAGCTTCATTAAATATGGATAAAACAAATTGTTAAGCGTGAACAGGCTGACATCCGTTTTATGTAAAACATACTGTGACAATCAGCTAGAGAAAGGACTGTATTAGAAATTGAACTACTTTCTGTAAATGTTAGCCAAGCGATACTGAAGATAAACTCATATTTTTAACTCATATTCAAAACGCCGTGAATAATGAACGGTTTCCTCTGCGCAGCATCGTCATCCAAGAGGTGCAGCTTTCATCATTGTTCGTTGCAACTGGATGATACGGTGAATTTAACTCCCTGCTTGACCACAGGTCAACAAACTTCATTATTGCTTCAGATTCTACGTCACTTTATCATAGACATGCTACTGTCCAGTCGTAGCTCATTTGGCTCCTGCATCACGTGATCCGGATTGGTTCCAGATCGACTAAGTATAAGGCTTGCATTCACTGGGAGAATAGAAATAGGTAATGTCTCACTATCTATACTGCCTATATGCATAAACGACTGCTGTATAGGTATAACTGCCTATACAGGTATAACCGTACACTTTAAAACGCCTGGGAAATGATGACGTCAGACTAGAAATGAAGTTTTGGCAAAGGTTATAGCATATGACACCCTTAAGTGATGTATTATAGTAAAAAGTTCCGCCTTCTTAACTACGGATAGCTAAAATTGACGGTCACTCCACGACAATCGTGCTTGAACTGGGTACAACAGTGCTGGTTTTAATTGCAGCACCACGAGAGGAATCACTACCCTCTTTCGAGCAGAGGCCTAAACAGATATGGAGATTAATAAATGAGGTTGGCTGTGCTAGACAAACTGGATGACCATAAACCATTACTTCAGCCCGTAAACTTCTCGTGAGGATGTCGAAATATGGCAGACGTAGACCAAGAGACCAGCATCCAACATGGAGGAACAGTGTAGAGGCAGATCTGAGTTCAGTGAGTTACTGTTCCTTTTAAAATGCCTATACCTCATAGCAAAAGTGTTGAAAAGCTGTGGATACAGCGGACGTCACAATGCAGTTGTTCTGCTTATGCAAAACTGCTCGAAATAACGATCTCAACAGATAACGGAACACTGATAATCACTGTGCGAACTAAATAAATCACCTACTAATAACCTCCCGATCTAAAACACCACCTGAAACAGGCATCAGGAAAATGCCTTTGGGAAGTTGAAGGGGAAGACTTGTCGTGAAGGCTTGAGACCCTAGAACAGTCATTACAGCTTCATAAACCTGACCTTATGTAAATGAGGAGTAAGTTAACACTTACATGAGGTCATGAGGTAGACCGAGATGCGGAGGCTGCTTTCTTTGGTTTCGCTTCATTCGATCAGGTCGGCGGTTTTAGGAGCGAGCCACGATGTCAAGACTGTGTGTCGTGTCGTCGCCATCATCGTCGTACGATGCGTGTTGTAAAACAGGCCGGAAACCGTCGCTGTCGACGACGACAGTTGCTCGGGCGGTCGGCACAACTGGAGAAACCGAAACCCGGTGACAGTTGCGACGATATGTATCAAACGTAATAAACGTCATTAGGCCACTCACGCTGCCTCCTCGGTCGGTGAACATCTGCTTCCTCATCCACCGGTTTGCCGAGGTCCTGCGCGCCGCTCCACTGCCGCCATCGTCCTTGAAACCGATCAACAAAAAACCGACCGCCGTCCGTCAACCAGTCATGCAACACCGCAAAAACTCACTGCCTCCGTTGGAGCTTCTCCCTCATCACAGACATAGTGTTTTCGTCGTCGCCGGGGTCTGAGGAAAAAATATTTTTCTACTTCCATGAACGAATTAAAAGTTGCATTAAAGTTTTGACCATTCGTCCGTGAAGTGAAACGGCATAACGCAAGTGTAAAGCGCTTGTAGTGTAAAGTGACCACATTTCGACCACTTTTAGTCGATAATCATTCGTTTGACGATCGCCTTTGCACCGTCTTTAAACGTCTGTGTGTGTAGCTGTACCTCCAAACCGGTGTCCCGGTCGCAGCTGCGTTCTGCCGTGATTTGGACAAGGTTGTCACTACGGTTCGAAACAAGCGCGACATCATTTATCGTCTGTGGGTGGCGGTGGCGACGACAGCGACGTTGACAGTACGTGATGACATATGCATCTGAGATCAGTCAGCACTCAGAACTGTGGCCATTTACAAAACATGCAAACGACCTGCTTTCGTTTTTCGATGATTGCTTCTGCTTGCCTCCCTCTCTAAAATATATTATTCATGCGTTGCCCTCACTGTTATTGCTGCTCGTTGTCCCCTTCTCTGTCTGTAATACTTTATTCAGAGGTTTCCCTCGCTGCTAGTCATTTTCCACCGAGCCTCGGCCGGACGCGTGGCGTTACTGAACGGGCGAAAACACTGTTTATCTCATCAGTCCCGCGTAGACCGTGGAACGCGGCCAGACGAACCGGCAGCAACTGTTTTCGCCTATTTTCACACAATAGGACGATGTCTGGTCTGGTGGTCTATTGGCTATTTGCTTAACGGACATTTGCCATGGACTAGCGATTAACTTGATGACGTAACCCATCGCCATCCACCCACTCCGAACCTGTTTGTCCCGACCGACCGTCTGTCTGTCCGTTGGCGGGCCGCTGCAACGGGGCACGTGCCGGAGAGGTTGAACGTACATTCCTCGAGACGTGAAAAACGAGTCTCGCCGTGGACGGAGGACGCCGACAGCGAGTGCGTGAAAACTTGCACAAAAACTGATCAGGGTTTCATCGATATCAAATAGTGATATCGGTCATAGTGGCATAGCGCCCAAAGTGACCCTTTAACATCCCGATGGTCATAGTGGCAACAAACAACACTGATGGACAAGGTTATACACCACCGGTGGTTGAACGTGAGCACATTGCCGTCTTTTTTTTCTGGTTCCAGACCATGACGGCTTTAGTTTGATGACGTAAACATGCAAAACCTTAGCCACAAAATTTCTGCTTCCTTCGCCTCAGGGCTTGAAGAATAATTTATTGCCATGACTTTTGATTAAGCCATCATCGTCAGATTTTTTTGATCCACTGCTGGATCAAAAGTTCGTCCGCCACAGACTTTTGTCTTATGCCATTTTCATTCTCCTCGATTCAGCGAACTTCTTAAGCTCATTCTGTCACCGGCCTGGAGGCCTTCCTACGGTCCCTTTATTCTTTCCTCCAATCCAGTCTAATATCTCTCATGCCCAGCAGTGGTCGAACATTCTTACCATGTGGCTTGCTCTTCCCTCTTTTACTTCTTCCCTCGGGCGATGACATCGAAGACACTTGTATGTGCGCTTTTGTCCGTTCATTCGTCTTTCCATCTTCATCTTCCATCGCCGCTTCTCCTTTCGGGTCGCGGAGGCAGACGCGTCAGACAGTGCTTCC